GAACCTTAGCTTTGGTGAGTGAACACTTAATGTTTGGTTTGAGGTGTGTGGCCATCTGTGGACTGGAGCCACAGTAGCTTTCCAGGTCTTAGCACTTTGCATCGTGCCCCAGCCTCTTCAAGTTTGACCTGTCTGCATCGGAACCTGCCTGGCTGGCTGTTCTCACTCAACTAGGTGGCAGTCTGCTGTGACAGGGACTTCCCATTCTGCTCACTCAGCAACGACTGCAGCTTTGTGTTGGTAAAATCAGGATGCATAAGGCACAGGAATTGTTTTTTTGTTTTTAAGACCCCAACATAAGATTAAAAGGAAACGTTTCTGAGAAGTATTCCAGACCTTTAGAGCCAACAGTCACAAGGGCACAGGCTTTGTTTTGAAGGAACTGAAAGTCGGATGGGAAATGTATCCAGAGACAGGCTCAGAGTGGAACAGGACAAACCTTTAGAGACTGTACCACAGAGGTACACATGTGGAAATGTCATCGAGCAGAGGTAGTGGGGCTGGGCGTCTTCCTCTGGACCTTACAGTACACAAGGACGGGGAGCAGGGTAAGAAGGGTGAATGCATTTTAAGTAGACATGAAAATGAAACAAGCATAAAGAGAAGAGCTTTACATAGTTGCTGGTAGAGCTCCCTTTGCACCACCGTGAGGGCCACTGCTGGAGCTAAGGTTGTCTCAACAGTAACGTGCAATAAGGTTCATAAAGAGAGGGAAGTTTGGGGGTTTATTTCTTCACTACTGAGACTGAACCCTTTGTGGTGGCATGTGCCTGTAGTCCCAGGACTTGGGAGGCCAAGGTAGGAGAATCAGAGTTTAAGGCCAGCCTGGGCCATCGAGTGAGTTCAAGGCAAGCCTGAACTACATAGCAAGACCTTGTCAAAAAAACACACAAGAGAAATTGAACCCTTTGCACAGAGCTATATCCCCACCCACCTACCCTTTCTTTTTGAGTCGAGGTCTTGATAAAGTCACTGAGTTGCCCAGGCTGGGCTCAAAACTTGCAATTCTCCCAGAATGCTGGGGTCACTGAATACATGCTTTGAAAGATGGATTAGTTTGCTTCCTCCACTCATCCAGAGGTCAATCTGACATCAAATTAAGAACCATCGACTGGAGATTCAGCTCAGTGGCAGGTCCTGAGTTTGATCCCCGTACTGGGGGAAAAAACAGAACAGTCGGGCCAGCCACGCTGCCCATGCAGGCTAAGACAGAAGGATCACAAGTTTAAGGTCAGCCTGGACAACTGAGGCCCTGTTTAAAAAAACAAAAACCTCCATTCTGCCATTGAAGGAATTTAAAACTGAAGAGCAGCTGGGAGATTATTTGGGATGGACCAGCCATCCATGTGCATGCGAGGCCTTGAAAACCTTTTATCTACAGACTGCAGACTTGGCTGGGGTTTAGTTGCAGCACATGGACAGCTGTGCACTTACCCAGCTTCCTCCCCCAGCAAGCAGTTGGAGTCAACAAGGAGCCCATGGGTCTGTACTCCGCATGCATTAACAGGTGCACCATGTCCTTAACGCCAGTATGTGTGCTGGGGTGGGGGTGGCACTTGCAACTGTTTCCAGGCCCTGACTGCAGCCAGGCACACAGGGTTCTAGGCTAGCCAGGCTTCTCCTGGGCCCTGAGCCTCATCTGCAGGGACCTTGTCAGGGAGGGTGCTGTCCTGCCCAAGGATAGAAGACCTGAACTAAACACCACGCAGACCCTGGTAAGAGCCTGGGCATAGGGGCTAGGACACTGGACTTGAACTCATTTTGTGATATGGGACGAATACCTCTCTGAGCCTCAGCCTCTACGAGGTGCTGGGCCCTAGATTATCTGGAAGGGTCCTGCCAGCTCTTCATATTCTCTTCCAAATGCACGGTCTGGAGAAGGTTGGGAAGGGCAAGGAGTCCAGGCTGGCAGGCAGGAAGGCACCACTAGCCTTGAAAGCCTTACAAATCTTAACACATTCTTTCCCCACATGACCTAAGGTTCCTGAGGCACTGGCTCTCCCCACCCCACTGCCAAAAAACAGCATCTGGTTCTGAGTCATCTGCCTCAGCTTCTGTAGAGGGGAAGAAGTTTTTCCCCGTGGGCCTGATCCACTGGGGAATAGGAAGGCAGCACTGAACACCTCTTCTTCACACTGGCTGCCAGCTCTGGGGTCCTGGGCAAGGCTGACCTGAAGCGTCAGAACTGTGTTCCCGTGTGCTCACCCCCCGCCATGCCATTCACCTCTCTCTCCAACCCTAAGGGAACCTCCAGGTCCCTCTGCTGCTATGTCTCCTGCCACCCTGTTGATTCCACCCCTGGTAAACCCCTTCCTCCCCATCCACCCCACTACCATGACATCAGTTGTCACCTCCACAGGAAATGGCACCTGGCTCTCCCCAAGGACTCAGCTTCCCCACAGCCCTCTCTGGAGCAGGCTATTCATTTTGTCACCCTTCAAAGTCAGGCCCAGCAGCCTCCGCTTTTCCTCCACTCCCTGAGGCTAAGGCACACACCTCAGCCCACACACACCTTCGTCCTGATTATTCCCCTTCCATATAGGCCTCCGTGGGTTCTGTCTCTTGACCTCATTGCCAAAGACCTACCCCTTCATCCCACCACGGCCATATCCTCCTCCAAGAAGACTCTCTTCCTCACAGCAGAAATGCAGGCCCCGTACCCTCGTCCTCATCTCCCAAGCTCCTGGCCCACTGACAGCCTATGCGTCCCCGGCCTCCTTGGTAGGGCCTCGACGCCGCTCACTTCACCTTCTCCCAGTCCCCAGCCCCCGCTCGTCTCACGTCTGTCTCCTCATCCAGCTCAAACTGCATCACCTCGGTCACTATGTTCAGCTCCTCAGCGTCCCATGTGTCTTCCTGAACCCCATTTTGGGATGAGTCCAACAGCCTTTCCCTGAGCAGGCCCCGTGGAGAAAGGACAGCCTAGGAGACGGGGCTTCCCGATCAAGGGCCACCCCCCTCAGTACTGCCAACAACCCCGTGTACCACACAGCCCACCCACCCTAACCCGTATCCTTCCCTTCCCTCCACCTTAGAGGCCTTCAGATATTTCCAGCTCTTCTTTCTCTATGGAAACTTCCTACAGACCAGAAACGGACCTAAACAAACTCGTCTCTCTAGTCTGAAGAAATGCTTGACACCGTGCCGAGCACATTTCTTCTCCCCTTCCTGACCAGCTGTCTACACTTCCTGCTTCCATTCCCCTTCTTACTCTGCTGCCATCAGTCTCCTGCCCCCATCACGACTGCTCTCAACAGAACCAACAGTGCGCACACCCAGTGTTGCCCTAACGGTTACCCTGGTAACCTTCCTGCGACACCACTCTCCTCCCATGATCCTTGAGCTTGGAGCTCCTCTGGATCTCTCTGGGGCCTCTGCTCTCAAAACTTCAACTCCCCTGAATGCTAATGACCCAAATCTAGTCCAACAGGTTCAACCCACTGCCTATGTGAGGACCAAGTTTCCAGGTCATGGTGGGCTCCATGCCCCTTACCCAGAGTAGAGTAAAATGCAAAAGTTCTTTTCTGTAAAATTCCATTCTATGCGACAGTCTCTCTGTGTTTCTGTTCCTCTTTTTAGGGAAAGTTATTCTAGGGCATCTCCACCCTGCCTCTGTTCCTCCATTTAAGATGTTAAGATAAGTTTCTTTTTGTATTAATTAATATAGAAATTAGTTATAGCTGATATAGGAATTAATTATAGCCGACATAGATAGTCACATGTTGATAATTAGAAAAAATCAGATGATCTAATGAAAAAAGGAATTGATTCTGCGAATGTAGGCATTAGGTAATTTTCCAATACGTACCCTCCTGGTGCCCCTTGAATATCCAATGATATGTAAAAGTCCTCCCAGTACCCTTTAATTATCCAATGACAAGTGACAGCTAAAAATAGAAACCATATAAGCAAAAAGTTTCCTTAATCCTATATAAACCCGCTTCAAAAATGGATCTGGGCTCTCAGTCTGAAGCCGCTGTGACGGTGACACCTGAGAGTCCAAGCTCGAGCTTGCAATAAACTCCTCTTGCAATTGCATCGGACATGACTCCTTGGTGGTCTTTGGGGACTTGGCGACTTGGGCCACCTATTAGGCATCTCCACCCAGGTGCTGCAGAGACAGCTGTGTCAACGCCAAAACTGAATTCCCCTGGGTTTTTTTGTTTTGTTTTGTTTTGGTTTTTGAGACAGGGTCTCACTATGAGACTGACCTGGAACTCACTATATAGCTCATGCTGGTCTCGAACTCACAGCGATCCTCCTGCCTCAGCCTCCCGAGTGCTGGGGTTACAGGCGTGCGCCACCAAGCCAGGCCGCTGGTTTTGTTTTTTGGTACCAGGGATCGAACTTGGGTCCTTGTGCTTGTGAACCATGAGCTAAATCCCCGGCCCCTTGAACTGGTTCTTAACGAACGGGACCAATCTGTCTCCCAAGCCGACATGGCCCCAGAAAAAAGATCAGTATGTGCTGAATGAGATATGAATGAATCCTTGTTCCTCTCTCATTCTCCTCAGCCAATCACCAAGTCCCGCCAGTTTTGCCCCCGCCATAAGCCCCGTGTGGGTCCCCTTTGCTTCCCTCTTGAGAACTGGCTGCATCTTTCACGAGGCTTCCCGGGGCCCTCAACTCTCCAGCTCCATAAGCCCCATAGTCCAGCACGTAACTGCGCTGGTAAATGCAACAGGATCAAATAGGTGAAAGGTTCGACAGAAGGGAGGGAGGCCGAAGGCAGCCCAGTACACCACCCAACCTGCCCTAGATTTCTGCCACACTTGGGGAACCGGCTCTACGCTCTGCAAGCCCACCGACGGGGCTGGGTCCGCCCCACTCACGCGGCGCTCCGGGAAGCCAATGGAAAGTTTGCAGAGCACGTTTGCCTCTGGGGCAGTACTCAGAGGACCCAATGGGCGCGCTCTGAGATGAGTCCTGCGGTGCCCTCCCGCCTCCTCTGCTTCGCCAGCCAATGGGAGCGGCCTGCGTGATCTAAGGGGGCGGGGCGGCGGGCGGCGGGGCGAAGTACTAGGTGCGCGAGCTCAGGGCCGGTCGGGGTTTTCTGGTGGACTAAGTCTCGGCTCTTTTTCCACCTAGCCGACGCATCATGGGGGCTGTGAGCGCCAGGCGCTGCCTGGAGTACGTACTGGGCTTCTATTTCCTGACCCACATCCCCATCACCCTGCTCTTGGACCTGCAGGGGGTGCTGCCGCGCGAACTCTACCCGGTCCAGGTGAGGGCGGCCGGTCGGTAACGTCGCCGCGGGTCGGCGAGTTTGAAGCCCCTCTGCGCGCGGCCCTGGCGCCCAGCCGCCACCTCGCCCACCACGGTTTCAGTTCTGTCCCCTTCTCCCTCCGCCTTCCTGGGCTCTGCGCAGGCTCCCTGCGCTCCTTGCCCCGACCTACTCCACGTCTCCCCTCCGTTCCAACCCTTTCTCCCAGGCGACAAACGCTCTGCTCTCCCCGCTCCCCCGGTGGTGGGGATTAAACCCAGGGCCTTCGGGCTGACTACCTCCCTAGCCCTTTCTTATTTTTTATTTACTTTTTAAATAGGATCTTGCAAAACTGCGCAGGCTGGGCCCGAACTTGAGATCTTCATGCTCCCGCCCGGCTTTGTTCCCTTTAAAATAATTTCTCCCTTGGTTATATGTTTCAGGCCCCCACAGTTGCTCGTGTGGTGAGTTCTCAGAGGTTGAAAGAAGGGTACTGTGACTGTCATTACGTGTTGGATTCTCTTTGATGTTTTTCAAAGGACTTTAAAATCCCAGTCATTCCAAAGAAAAGAATCTGAGTATAACTGGGCCTGTTTGAAGGTTTAGTGTCTTGGTTGGTGCTGCTTGGGCATTCGTGGATCATCACCCCCTGAAGATCCGGACCCAGCAGTTTCAGAAGCTCAGGAGTAAATTGACGACACCTTTTCAGATTGACCGTTTAATTGGGTTTTGAGTAAGAACGATCACCTGAAGGTGAAATGCCTCATTTCCTGGCTGCTGGAGATCAGTCTTTGCCCCAGACGTGTTTTGTTTTGTTTGAGACAGGGTCTCGCTATGTAGTTCAGGCCGACCGTGAACTCAAGTGTGTAGTCCAGGCCGGTCTCTGCAGTCCCACCGCCTCCTCACTGCTGGGATTACAGGCCTGCGCCGCCATGCTCGGCCGCCCTAAACTTTAATACTTCAGAGAATACATATACATCCAGGCACGTTGGTGCACTCCTGTAATTCTAGCCCTTGGGAGGCTGAGGCGGTAGGACCACCTCAAGTTCAAGGCCAGCCTGAAGTGCATAGTGAGACCCTACCTCAAACCAAAAAAGGCTTTGTTTTCATTTTTCTCCTTTTTTTCCCTCCTTTTCCCCTTCCTTCCCTTCCCCTTCATCCTCCCCTGTTTCCCTTCCCATTTGAACATTTTCTTGCCTACTTCCCAATATCGACACTTTTGGTTTCTCACACAAGATAATGCAATATTTAAACGTGTGTGTCCGATTTATTTCACTTAAAAGTATGGGCTCAAAGTACATCCATTTACCTAAAACTGTCTCATTTATCCTTCTTTATGGCAGAGTTGTACTCCATTGTATATAAAAACCACATTTTCTTTTTTTTTTTGGAACCGGGGATTGAACTCAGGTCCTTGCGCTTGCAAGGCAGGCCACTGAACCGCTGAGCTAAATCCCCAGCCCCATAAACCACATTTTCTTTATCTCTTCATCTGTTGGTGGGCATCTGAGTTGTTTCCAGATTTAGCTATTACAGATTGTGCTGCTATACACATGGGTGTGTATCTGTCACTGTGGTATGATGCTTTTAACTCTTTCGGGAAAATACCAAGGAGGTTCAGAGTAGATCAGTCAATTCGAACCTCTAGTTTGAATTTTTTGAGAACTCTCCCCACTGATTTCCACAGTGGTTCTACCAGTCTGCACTCCCACCAACAGTGGAGAAGGGTTCCTTTTTTCCCTCAGCAGCTCCAGCATTTATTATTGGTTGAGTTCTTGATAGCAGCCATTCTTTCTGGGGTGAGATGGAATCTCAGTGTTGGTTTAATTTGCATTTCTCATATGACCAGCGATGTTGAACATTTTTTCATATATTTATTTGCTGTTTGTACTTCATCTGAGAAGTATCTATTCATTTCAGATGCCAATTTTTGGATTGGATCTTTAAATTTGGGGGCCTCTGATTTTTTTGAGTTCTTTGTATATTCTAGATGGCCGTCCTTTGTCTGAGGAGAGCTGATTAAACTTTTTCCCCCATTGTGTGTGTTCTGTTGGTGGTTTCTTTTGCTGTGCATCCTCGGTTCTGTTGTGCTTCTCTGACCTACTGGTGGATTGTGAGCAAGACTGACTTGTCTGCCTGAAGAGCTGAGTTTTGCCTGTTTTTCCTTGAATGCTTTTTCTCTGCAGAGAAACATTCTAATATGAACTCCCAGTGGTGTATGCAAAATTGCACATGCCCTGTGTTTACTAGAAGAATATGTAGTTTTTTGTTTTGGTTTGGTTTGGGTTTTTTTTTTTTTTTTTTTTTTTTTGGTACTGAGGATCGAACTCAAGTCCTTGCACTTGTGAGGCAGGCAGCAGAACCACTGAGCTGAATTCCCAGCCTTAGAATATATAGTTTTTACCAACTTTGCCAGGTGTGTAATTCTCCCGAAAAGACTCTTAGCCACTGCTTAACAGCGTACTCCCCCGCCTATAAGTCTATTTGTTTGTTTCTATTCTTATTTTTTAACTTTCATCTTTTAATTTTGAGACAAGAGTCTCGCTATGTGGCCCAGGCTGGCCTTGAACATGAAGCAATCCTCCTGCCTCAGCCTGAGTGTTAAGATTACAGGAGTTGCAGCACCATGCCTGGTTTTTGTTTGCTTCTAGAACCTGAATAACTGGAAAGACCTTAGACCTCCCTTTCTGTGGGAAAAGTTTAGGTAGTATCTTGGCAGGAGATCTCTGTATTGCACTGGAGGATTTGGTTTGTCACAATCTGGTTGCATATCTGGGCTCTATAGCTTCAATTTTTTTTTCTTTTTTTTTTTTGAGATGGAGTCTCTATATATAATTCAGGCTGGCCTTGAACTATTATGTAGCCCAGGCTGGCCTCAAACTCACCATGATCCTGCCTCAGCCTCCTGAGGGCTGGGATTACAGGCGTGTGGCACCACACCTAGCAGCCTCAATGTTCTTTTCTTTTCTTTGTTTTAAGAGGCACTGGAAGGGTTTATTAGGCAGAAATTTAATTTAAAATTTAAAAGTATACATTCAGAATACAGTGTAGGGGAAAGAGGGAGGGAGGGAGAGACATAGCCTCAATTTCCAAGTAATAGTTTAACCTCTTAAAAGCTCAGAGCCAAGTTGTAGAGTTGGAGACATACCTCAGCAGGAGGGCATTTGCCTAGCATTTGTAAGGTTAAAAAAATTGTGTAATTTCCTATTTCCTTTTTTTTTTTTAATCTAACAAATTATCACAAATATAGTGTCTTAACACAAATTTATTTTTTCACAAGTCTGGAGATTAGAAGTTCAAAATTAATATGGAATGTTCGTTCCCAGGGCTGGTTCCTTCCCACAGTGCCATGGGAGATCCTGTTCCGCTTTGAGTTCCAGGTAGCTGCCACTGTGGCTTGTGTGGCCACACCGCTTTAATCTGTTCACATCATCACATCGCCACCTTCTCTTCTGTAGTCATATTTCCCTCTTAGTTTTTTTTGTTGTTGTTTTTTTGGTACTGGGAATCGAACTCAGGTCCTTGAGCCTTCGAGGCAGGCAGCAGAACCAGTGAGCCAAATCCCCAGCCCTCCCTCCATCTCAGTTTTATAAAGTCTCTTTAGTATGTGCAGGGCCCCCCATATAATTCAGGGAAAGAAATCTCCCAACTTCAAATCCATGTCACTTACATCTGTAGTCCTCTTTGCCTACTAAGTGATAGTCATAGGTTCCAGGGATACATGGGTGTCTTTAGGGCTGTTATCATGCTTATTACACAGCACACTCTGAAGACGTTACTGCAGGTCTGCACTAGCCATTGGTTGCCCTGAAGGAGAGCCTGCTCTTGCCCCATCTGTGGTTTTCAAACCCTTTGTGGCCTATTGACAGTCTAGTATGTGGTGATGAGCACGTTGCTCTTGTAACCATTCCAGACTTAACAGCTATTGGCTTCTTTATCCCTTCTGACTGCCATTCTCCCTCCTTGCTTACCACTCAGATATGCAGCTAATGCCAGGCCTGGTGGCTCACACCTATAATCCTAGCACTCAGAAGACTGAGGCAAGACTGCAGGGAATTCAAGGCCAGCCTGGGCGACATATCAAGACCCTGTCTCAAAAAAAAAAAAAAAAAAAAAAAACAGCTAAAATGTGCCAGCATCATAAAGACCCCGTTTATTTATTTAGGTACCAGGGATCCAACTTGGGACCTTGCACTTACAAGGCAGGTGGTGGAACCACTGAGCTAAATCCACGGCCCGACCCCATTTAAATGTATATATTTTGTTGGTAAAATTTTCTGTTTTGAGGCAGAGCATATAGCTCAGTGATAGAGTGTGTGCCTGGCATGCAAAAGGCCCTGGGTTTTTTTTAATGTAGTGGAGAAGGCTGCAGACCAATTCAGGTAGGATCTGCCCGAAGCCACGTGTAATATGATGATTGAAGGCATTAGCAAGGGGGGCATCTTGGCCTGCAAGGCCTACGTTCCTGTTCAGTCTCACTGCTTTGGGTGGAATAAGGTTTGTTGCTTCTCTGTGGGGAAAATAAAAACTTTTAATCTCAGCTTCTCTTCAGAAAATATCAAAATTTAACATCTGCTTTTCCTCCAAAATAGAAGGAACTCTTCCTAGAATTAAAAAGCATTGTGGGAAGTCAGATAATGGCTTGGCTAAAATTAAAAAATTAAACTTTTTTCTTGGTTTGAATCATATCACTTGGAAAACTACTAATTTAGAGCCGGGTGTGGTGGCGCACACCTGTAATCCCAGCACTGGGGAGGCTGAGGCAGGAGAATCACTGTGAGTTCGACAACAGCCTGGGCTACACAGTGAGTTCCAAGTCAGTCTCAACTACATAGTGAGACCCTGTCTCAAAACAAACAAGTATATATAAATTTAATTGAGTATGGTAGAGCCTAGGAGGGAGAAGGGGAACCTTGTAAAGTATAATTTCCAGCTGGATAAATTCTGTTCAGAAAAGGAAAAAATAGGTGAGCATCTGGCTCTAAAATCAGGCTGCCCTCATTTTAAGTTACAGAAATACAAGAACCATGGAAGATCCTACTTAGAAAGCCTTAATGTGCTTTGTTTATTTTGTTTTTTGCTTCGTGTGTGCAGGGCATCAAATCTAGGGCCTCATACATGCTAATCAAGCAGTATGTGCCTAGGCTGGCCAGATAAATCTTTTTTTTTTTTTCTGGTGTCAGGAATTGAACTCAGGACCTTGCACTTGCCAGGCAGATATGGCATCACTGAGCTACATCCCTGTTCCCCCAGATAAATCTTTATGGGTAACAGTGGTGAGTTATCAAGTGAGAGTCAGGTATAAATGGAAACATGCTGAGATTTTGATAGGCTTAAATTTGAGCTACATGTGAATTCATTTAAGGGATCTTATATACTAGTCATTGATCAAAAGATGACTTGTATCAACTCACTGTATCTCACAAACAGGTGTAGGTGCTATCACTGGCTCCACTTTATGGACAGGGAAACTAGCATGGTGAGATTAAAGGTTTTTCCTGGAGCCCGCACTGGGCTAAGCATTCTGCCTCTGGCTCTTGTACTCCTCACCATTCTGCTGGAGGCCTGGGCCTTTTCTTTCACCCATCTTTTGTCAGGACCTCATTCCACCATCATCAGGTGACTCGGGGGAGCTTGGAGATGAAGTTAAATTTTGCTGAACTCACCCTGCAGCTCTTAGACATTAAAAGTTAACCTTAATTTAGGAGGTAAGTAGATCTGAATAAAAAGTGAAGTTTACATGGACCAGAATGCCTTTTAAGTTAGGCAGTAAAATTTTTTGCAGGGGAGAAGGGGTTGAGACCGTTTCACTATGTAGTTCAGGCTGGTCTCAAATTCAGGGTGATCCTCCTGCCTCAGTCCCAGGTGCTGGGACTACAGGTGTACACCACCATGCCTGGTTTACAGTAAATCTTTTAAAGCAGGTAGTTTCATCTAGTAGTTTCTAAAATCTTTTTCTAAAGAGAAGAAAAAAATCATTTAGTCTAAATTGCTCCTTTATGTAGGGTAAAGTAATAAAGCCCCAGAGAGGGGCAGCAACTCACCCTTTATGTGTATTTCTTCCTACCATGTTAGTGTCCTGAAAAATGCTTAGGAGGAAACAGAGTATTGTCGTGAACTCAAACTTCACATCAAGTACACATTAGAGATCCCTGGTCAATAAACTGGTTACCTAGCCAGAACCCTCTGAAATTAATATTATGCTAACAGAATGTTTGCTTCTGGGTATTTGCTTAAAGCTCCCTTATGGCAACAAGGCCTTTATTTCACAGCAGTGAGCCTTTCTCTTTTGATTAAAAATTAACAGGAAAAATATTCCTGGACTTTCCATTATAAGATAAACTCTTGAAGTTGCTTTATTCATCACATCAAGACACTTATTTCGCTTTGCAGCTGCATGTGCTGGGACAATGCACACTCCAAGGCTTTGGGCTTGTAGAAAGCACAAAGTGAGCAGCCTCAAGCTCTTACCTCCTCCTTCCTGTGCATCTAGCCACATCAGCTCTGATCCTTTTTTTGGCAGGGTAGTTACAAGGATGTGGGCCCAAGCTAGAGCTGAAACTGCTAACTCAAGCTAACCTTGCTATAGCCTAGAATCTACAGTTTGGAGCAGTTTGTTCTTCCACAAATACCCTAGAGGTCTCCTTAAAAAAAGAAAATTAGAGCTGGGATTTAGCTCAGTGCATGCACAAGGTCCTGAGTTCGATCCCCAGTACCCCCAAAAAAAGCCAGAATTAGAGGACTTAAAAATGAGTATTGCCAGGCACAGTGGTGCACAGTTCTCACTGTGGGAAGATCACTGTGAGTTTGAAGCCATCCCAGGCTGCATAGCTAGACTGTCTTGAAAAACCAAAAGCAAAATTTTAAAAATAACTTTTTTGTAAATTAGACTCAAAGTATCCAAAATTTACATCTCCACAAGTTACACAGGCAGGGATGGCTAATTATGATCAATATTTGTGGTATGCATGTATGAAAATATACTGTATTCCATTAATGTGTACAAGTAATATAAATAAAAATACAAAATAAGCTGTATGTCCACAGAGGTTAGATTTACCTGCCCCTTTAGCCACCACTCCCCCTACCAAACATAGGGAATTCAATTTTTTTTTCTTTTCTGGTACTGGAGATCAAACTGAGAACCTTACACTTGCAAGGCAGGCGTGACACCACTGGGCTAAACCCCTGGCCCTCGATTTATTTCTCTGAGGGAATATGACCATTGGGGTTGGATGTACAATTGTGAAAGGAAAATGTTGGGATGTTTTTCACATTTGTCATTTCCTTGCAAAATGATACTGGCAGAAATAGCACATTTTCATTCAGCAAACATCTGAATGCCTAGTAGGTGCTAGGTAGTTACTGTTGCTGGACAGTGGGCAACACACCTGAATTTGTGTCACTGTGGAGTTGTGAACAAATGCTGGGTAGAACAAAGAAGAAACTGAAAGAGTCGAAGAAAACTTCATACCGAAGGTAACATTTGATTTAGAGCAAGTGAGTTTGCACTCAGTGACCAGCTAGGTGTGCTACGAGCTGCCGGGGTGGGGACCGAGCTGAGACTGTCCATGTATCTTCAGAAGCCACTGTGATATATCATGCTCATTCTCTTCTCTCAGGTTAGAAATTTTCTGAAGTGGTATTGTGCAGAGTTCAAAGACTATCTGATGGAGAACAGCCCAGCGTGGTTTACATCATTTCTGTTTTGCGAGCTTCTGTTTCAGCTGCCTTTCTTTCCCGTTGCAGCATATGCCTTTTTCAAAGGTTGGTAAATAGTGGTAAGACCCCATTTTCACTCAGTATCGGGTCCTGGAACTCTCTGGGGAAAGTTTGCTTGAGCATGCCACAGGACCCCATAGAGGGACCTCAGTGTGGCTCAGACTAATGCCTGGTCACCTGGGCTGCCTGGAGTCAAATGTACGTGAAACCTGTGGCCATTTAAGAGAAGAGCTCCTTCCCCTAACCCCTCCCTCTCAACACACAGTTTCTTTTCTTGTTGGCTTTATTTTCCTGCTTTGGATAAGTACTATGTTGACTTACAAGCAGTAGCATCAAGCTAATCCCTAAAAGGTTTAATTTCGCATTGAAAAATTCTTCATGTTCGCATGTATTTAGGCCATATCTCCATCCTTAGTAAGTAAGCTCCTACAGTTGAAAATGCTGATTCCATACAAGTCACTGGACCCACTGTCAGGCCCACGTCTGATTACTTCCCAGACAGATGCTGCCAGAGATTCCCCTTCCCTTGCATGTTAGGCCACACACTGGTGGCAGTTTTACTGCAGAAGGTTTTTCTCAGTTATACTGCAACCCCACCTTGGTTCTTTGGCAGTGAGGTCAGAAGTTTATATACCGGGCAATAGAACATTCAGTTTTCTGTTTGTTCTGAGTTTCTGCTTGTGGTGGTGGTGGTGGGGGATAATTCAACTAAAAGGGGCAGGGTAGGGATGTCCTACATGGTCCCATGAACAAACCCATCTTCTCCTTTTGCTGCAGGAAGCTGCAGGTGGATCCGTACCCCCGCCATCATCTACTCAGTTCACACCATGACAACTTTAATTCCAGTACTCGCCTCCTTTCTACTTGAGGATTTCTCCAAAGCCAGTCATTTCAAAGGACGAGGACCTCAGACTTTCAGTGAACGACTCACCCTCATAAGCATCTACATCCCCTACTTACTCATCCCTCTTACACTTCTGCTCTTCATGTTGCGGAACCCTTACTACAATCATGAGGATAAAAGAAAGAAAAAATGAGGAAATAACCACTGGCCAAGGAAAGAGGTGCCCAGTAAGGCATCTTTTGGACCCAATACAGAAAAACTGTTAGGAATCCATGGCTTCAATGGCATTTGAAAACACTAGCAGCAGTACTCAAGACCAAGGGTCATGTCCAGTTAGCAGGGATGGGGGGCTATGGGCCAGCTTACAGGAATATGGTGCTTGATCCATTGCAGGATTAACAGATGCAGGACCAGACCACAAACTGGGTACCCTTCCATAAAACACAGCGTGCCTGACATTTTCTGAGTCATCATAGTAAATACACCCATTTCTAAGACCTTGACTATGAGTCTCATAGATACCACCAATCAACCAAGTTAAAGTGGAATGATCCGGGCCATTTTAAAAGTAACTGTCATTTTTGTTGCCCCTACTTCCTACCCTATGGGGAAAAAGGGAACTATGCAGGAGAGGTTTAAACCTTAAGGGTTAGCCCTAGCATGACTTTCAGTCAGAAATAGGTTAAACTGGAAGGCATTTTAGTTTGTATCTTTTTTTTTTTGTACCAGGGATCAAACTCGGGACTTTGCACTTGCAAGGCAGAACCACTGAGCGAAATCCCCGGCCCTTCAGTTTGTATCTTAAACCAGTCATCCCAAGACATTTTTACATCACTTGTAATATTACTTCAAAATCTTAGTCTGGCCTATTTTTAGAGACTACCTGAGATAACTCCTTTAGTTGAAGTTTGGCATCTCAAGCTTGACCTGGAAGTATGCTCTCTAATGGGTAACTTAATTCATCTTGATACAGTCTAATCATTCCTGCCTTGTCAGGAATGGGGTTGCTGGCCATAACCAGCCTAGTGTGTACATACAAGGGTCTTTGGGTACTAGTGCTTGGTGTTCCTAGCTTTTCCTAAATCAATGTTTGAGGTCATTCCTAAAAGATGGAAGACGAGGTTCCTGTCAATTCTGTTTTTGCCCTTTTTGCTCAGAAGCCATAATGGTATGATTGTTGGTACTAGTTTGATTTGTCTGTATCTGGTACAAATAAAGGTAGCTGTAGCCACTGCCTGGTTTGTTTTGTGGACTAGAGGCTGGAACATCCAGGGTCCTATCGAAAGGGGTTAAGCCTACTGCAAGGCACTGAGGGAAGAAAGGTAGATCAAACTATTTGAAAACAATAATTTATTGCTTTTCCTTCCAAAGTATTGTGAATTTACAAAAAAGAGCAAAGTTTACAGACTGCTTAGTTCATAATAATGCAAGAGGTGAGGACCTGCCCTGTGTGGCCACTGGCAGTGGCTGTGCACCGATGTTTAACACCAGCTCCCCCAGACTTGCATTACTGCCTCTGGGGGCTCACCCCTTATACACTGTTTCATGACATACTCAGGTCATCAGTCAAGTCACTGGAATGGTAGAGGTTTTTTGGTTTGGGGGCTTTTTTTGCCTTCCTGCTATAAAAATGAGATTTTTCAGTTCATTTCTGAAAAATAAATTGGTCAATAAATTCATTTTGTTCTGCTTCTACTTTACACAAAGCTTCATATTCAACTCGATACCTGAAAAACAAAATTGTTGAAGCCCTGAAAAGGATGAAATAAACCACAGACTTAATTCTTCTAGAGAAGAATATAGAGCTTTAAATGATTCCAATAAATGGTGTGTGAGTTCAGAATGAAGTTAGTGAAGATCAGAAAGAGAAATAAGAGGTAAAGTTGTACCCAGGGCCACTCATGAGCCATCTCCCAGCCCCGAAAGGGTCACCTCCTGTCAAGGGCCAGCCAGCTGTGGGCCCCTGCAATCTGGACTTTCATGCTTAAGGTACTATTAGAAGGTGTTTGATATTAACCATTTTCCTTCCCATCAGATGTAATTTTATTTTTAAAATCTGCAAATCAAGATGAGATGCTATTCCTAGGAAAACGAAGGATAAAGATGACGTGATCATTCAGGGAAAAGCAGAATATAAGTGGAGTAAACCTGACTTACCTTTCTAGCTGCATTTTCTTTTCTGCTATTAGTGCGTGAAGTTGCTGCTGTTGGGCTTCTCTCTGCTTTGCTATAGATTTGAGCAAGTTCCGAGCACCAATGGCCTAAGAAACAGTGTTGCAGAGAAGATCATGCTTCATTAACACGGTCACAGTGGGGCCATAATTCATAGGTCTCCCTGCCAGGCATCTTGAACCTCTGGTGGTATGTGCACAACTTCCCATCAGGAAGCTTTATATTTTATTAATAAAAAGACTGATAAAAGTGATCAGGTCTATTTGTGCCACCAGTGTTACAAGCCGCCGCTAGACAGGACGATCATGCATGTATCATGAGTGGTTCGAGCCACTGGGAACATGTTAACCCACCTATAGCGGGAAGTCCTCAAAGTGGGGAAGGGCCCTTTAAGAGTTACGTCAGTACCCAGAGGGGAAAAGAAAGTGCTGCCCCATGGCTGTGGGGCTTAATCAGAAGGAAGATTAACCTACTGCTCCCAAAGTGAGAACTAGCCTGCAACTCCACCAGGTCCAGGAGTATTTCCCAGGTTTGTAAGGATTTAGTGGCCTACTGGGTGGTACTATTCAGCCTTGCACACTTCATCAAGACATCTATACCATGCCAGCCTTTTCTCTAATTGTAAAAGAAGGAGAAACCCACCTATCAATGCTGATGTGAAGATCAAAGGAAGTAATGACAAAGTAGACTGGCATATAAGGTTAGTAGGTAAACTGGACCGGAAATGGTCAAAATCTTATATTAATTAAACAAGAAAACCCACAAGCAAATCAAGAGAGCAGAGGATGAGAGGCTAGAGAATGAGGGTCCCAGGCCAAGATAGACATGTTGATTTTACCTTCATCTTCTCATTTTCTGCTTCTTTTGCAAGTTGGTCAACAAGCTCAATTAGACCACCAACTATTTTCTGAAACTGGCCAATTTCTTTTGGGGAAAAAACAAAAAATAAAATATTTTCTCACCTTCAGCACTCCCTTGAAGCAGTAAACAGAGCTAACTGCCCTTTCTCTTTCTTTAGGTACTAAGGATCAAACTCGGTACCTTGCATTTTCAAGGCAGGCCACGGCACTGCTGAGCTAAATTCTTGGCCCTCTTCCCCTTCTAATTTATATCAAAACAGTTTGACACCTTCTAGCTTAAGTCTCCCACCCTCAGTGTGCACCTAGAGCCGGTGGCCAGGTGCCCAGAGCTAGACCCAGGGTATTTGGATTGTGAATCACCACTGAGCCAGCCATCTGCTGTTACCTGAGGCTCCAGGCAGACCCATCCTCCTTACAGACTGACCCTAATCCAGCCTCCCTGCCCAGGAGTGACAGGAAGTACAAAGCAGAATTCCCAAAAGACTCTCAGAACATGTGGCCTCAACTAGCCACAGACACAATGCTAGATTTCAATTAGAGGTGTGGGTGGGAACTTTCCACCTGTCACTGCAGTAAAGAGCACTTAGCATTTAAGTGCCAAATGTTTCATTCATATTTTTAACGGCCTTGTAGGATGGAAACTAAGACTTAGCATGTACACAGCAGCCACAGAAGATTGGCAGTGGAACCCAAGCAACCTCTCACCAAGCTCTCCACAGTGTAGGGAGCCCCAGAAGGCTCAGAAATCACTTATTCCAGCTAGATCCAGCTCTGGCCACTGACGCTGGCCTTCTTTGTACCTGCACCATGGAACAGGCAACTTCTGGAGTTTTCTAGCCCATGACTTCATTAAGTTTGTTAAGCTGCTCCTAGAGACTAGTCATCACCTCTAACTCCAAATAATCGAGATTCTGCCATGAGAGCACCGTTTCCATTAAGAAAAAAGGTCAGAATACCTAACTGCAGTTCCTACTCCCAACCTATGGTTCTATCCCATGAAGTTTAAGGTTTCTGAGGCAAAAAAAAAGCCACAGATAGCATATCTTAAAACCCCCTCCTGTTCCAATTCTGGTAGCATGGGACTATAGGACAGCATCAGAAGAGGGCAGGTAGGGAAGATGGGTGGTGCATGGGAATTCGGAGGTCAGACTCAACCTCCAGGGAGTCAACAACTCCATTCTGGCAGGGCCAAGAGTTGCAGGCAGGGGCTGGGTGGAATGGGGTGGGGCAGCTGTAAGTGATCAAAGCTTAGTGATATCATGTCTCCCCCAAAATACTCACTGTCCACGAAGTCCTTGCACTCTTCCTTGAGCTCTGTGGTCTGCTGGGTAACCTCTGGGTCCAACACCCGCAACTTATTCAGCTCATCAAAGTGCAACCCGGCTTCACCCAGGATGTCTTTGGCCATAGCTGCAAAGGAACCAGCCCAATCCCCAGTCACTTCCCATCAGCCAAGGAAATGCCTCCTTTCAGCCCAGCCCATTCCTGCCCCCAAACAGCAATTCCCAAACCCCAGAAAGCCCTGTCTCCACCTCAGCCTCACCTGTTTCCCTTCCAGGTTCCCTAGAGAAGCTCTTCTGTGAGGGGGTGACAGTGGCAGTCAGGAGAAGGTGTGGAATAGGAGCAAGGGTCAGGAAAGAGTAAAGTCCAGTTGCTTGGCACAGGCATCCTTCATTCAACACACATTTCTTGAGTGCCTACCACATGCCAGTACTGCTAGGTGCTGGGGGTACAGAGATGAATGCCACATGGTGCCCACCCTGTAGGAGCACATAATTCAGCTGGAGAAAGACAGACAAGTAAACTGAAAAGGTACACTGTGTTAAATGCTTTTTCAGAAATATCACTAAGGAGAGTAGGAAGACGACAAAGCAGTTGAGTGGCATCTGGCCTAAGTTGTGAGCCATAAGCATATTTATAATTCCCAGTTACGTACCCAAAAGGACACAAAAAGGCTTGCACTAGAATAACACAAAAAGCAAATACAACTTGGACAAATTAAAAAAGGGTCAAAAATAGGCCAGATGTGGTAACACATATCTGTAATCCGAGCACTTGAGAGGCTGAGGCAGGAGGATCACCATGAGCTCAAGGCCAGCTTGGGCTACAGAGTGAGTTCAAGGCCAATGTGAACTACATAGGCCTTGTTTCAAAACCGAAAAACCAAAATCAAAACAAGCCAAAACAAAAATTAGGGTTAAAAGACAAGCCACAAAAAAGTAACAAGAAAGAATATTACCTAAAATGTATGCCAAAAGATACTGTACAGTTACCTGCATTAGGGATGGAAGTTGGGTCCCTATCAAAAAACAAGAAGGAAAGAAGTGTCAGCAAGAACATACCAAGTAAAGAGGCCAGGGAAAGGCGTTCCAAGCAGAGAAAACAGCATGGCCACCGGCCCAGTGTCACTGAAAGGCCCACCTGCCTCAAACATGGAAGGAAAAAGAATGGTGCTAGAATAGCAGGCTGGGGCCAGATCAAGGACTCTGTGTTTTGAGCTGAGGAGTATAGATTTTTATCTGTAGACAATGAGAACCAACAAAAATATCTTCTCCCTCTCCAGGCCTTTGGACCTTTCACTTCTGGTCCAAAGGATGCCTCAATTCTGGAGGAAATACTGAAAACCCACCCTAATTCTGGCTCAAACACACATGCACCCCGTGCACACACACACAGGGCGGCAACGCTTGTTAGGTGTAGCCATTGGCTTCCAGGCTGATTCCAAAACCCAGTAGTCCAGAGCCAGGGCCCTGGTCCACCCCTTCCTTTTGCTCCCAGCATTGCCTATTCCCCTTCCAACTTTAGAAAAATTCTCTGAATGGGGTGACTGGGAATAACTTCCAGAGCAGGTGTGACACAGGAGGAGCAGTATTTGGGAAAGAATTAAGTCCCTTGGGCTGAGGATGTGGTTCAGAGGTACAGTGTGTGCTTAGCAATAAGCAAGGGCCCAGGTTCAGTCTTTAGGAAGGAGGGAAAGGGAAGAAAGGAAAAAAGTTAAGTCCCACTGTTGCCAGAACTTTAGATTTCTCTTTCTTTTCCCTGCATGTCTTCCTGCTAGTGTTCCCATCGGCATACCCAAAACTAAATTAAAACAGCTCCTGGGGGTTTCGGGAACTCTTCTCTGGTGTCTGTTTGCCACGGCCTGCTACTCCTCAGCCTCCTTTGCATCTCCAGAACCTCCAAACATGAGGCCACAAGCCTCCATCCTGCCCCTCTTCCCGTCTTTCAGTGCCCTCGCCTTAGAGATCACTTAAAACACAGTTTATGCAGATGACTCTTACAGGTACATCTCCAGCCAAGGCCACACCTCTGAACTCCGATACTGCATCACACTACATTCCCCACAGCATCTCTGGAAGTCTAGTAGGCTCCTCAGCCTTACAAGTCCAAACTGGAGCCCCTGATTCCTCTAAACCTGCCCCACTCAGGTTAATGGCCACTCAATCTTTCCACTATCCTAGAGTCATCAGCGCCTCGTCTTTCAATCCTTTGGCAAATTCTTGATATTCAAAACACAGCCAGAGCCACTATTTCTTTTTTGTTGTTGTTGTTGATTGTTTTTTGAGACAGGGTCTCACTATGTAGTTGAGATTGACCTGGAACTATGTAGCCCAGGCTTGTCTCAAACTCACAGCGATCCTCCTGCCTCAGCCTCCCAAGTGCTGGGATTACAGGCATGCGCCACCACCCCTGGCTAGAGTCACCATTTCTTATTCTTGCCTATTGGTCCCTTATTCACTTCTCATTTGGTCTACTCTCCATTCTCACCATTTCTGTAGGAGTCTGTTTATCACGTCTCATCTTTTTTTAAAAATTTAAAACATTACAGTAAAAGACACATCACCATGAAGCCCCTCCAAATCCTCCCCCTTGCCTTGCACACACTCATCCCCTCATTCTTGCCACTTTCTGTAGCAGCTATGGAGTCCTCTTTCCTGATGGTCTTTATATCGCCTCTCATCTTTACCTGCTTAGTGAATTCTCCACTTTTCCATTGCAACCATCTTGCTAAATTCTCTACTATGCATTGTACCATCTCAGCCTACTCTTCACTTCTCACTGTTACCATAGAAGGGAGAAAATACTGTTTCAATTTCCAGTGCCTTCCCTGAAAGGAAACATTTATTCAAATGAGTCCCTGCTATGCTCTGGTAATGGAGTAAAGAAAATGCCTCCGAAAAGATAGTAATCAAATAATCACAAACTGTGAAATAGTATGAGGAAGAGCATCTGACGCTATGTGAATACAGCGGCATAACAACAAAGTTCATGGGACAGAGGAATATGAACAAAGGCCTACAAAAATGATGCTTAGCCAGACATGGTGCTGTACGCCTGTTATCCCAGCACTTGGAGAGTCTGGATCACCATAAGTTCAGGGTCAACCAGGGCTACACTGAGAGTTCAAGACTGTACTAAAACATACAGTGAGACCCTGTCTTAAAAAACCAAAAAGGGCTGGGGATTTAGCTTAGTGGTTCTGCTGCCTGCCTCGCAAGCTCAAGGTCTTGAGTTCAATCCCCAGTACCAAAAAAAAAAAAAACAAACAAACACCCAAAACAGCCATGTGTGGTGGTGCACACCTGTAATCCCAGCTCTCAGGAGGCTGAGACAGAATGATTGCTGAAGTTAAAGGCCAGCCTAGCCTACATAGTGAGTTCAAGGTCAGCCTGAACTACACAGTGAGACTCTGTCTCAAAAACAACGAACACACAAAAAAACAAAGCCAGGTGCGGTGGCAGGAGGATCTACAAGTTCAAAGCCAGCCTGGGTTACATAATGAGTTTAGGGCCAGCCTAAACTACATAGAGAGATCTTACCTAAACAAACAAATCAAGCTTAAATTTGGAGGCCCAAAGTTTTAATGATAGTAGAGGGAGACATTCCAAGCAGAAGGAAAATCATGGGAAGATCCTGAGGTTAGAAGAAATCTGACTCAAGAACTGAAAGGCTAGTGTGATCAAAACAGTGATCAAGGAGAGAGAAACAGGATGAGTCTGGAGAGGGGAGCTACAGTTGGATCATGGAGGGCTCCACATCAATGAACTATATCCTCAGCACTTTTTAAAATTTTGAGTCAGGGTCTTCATAAGTCATCTAGGTTGGGCTTGAACTTGGAGCCCTCCTTCCTCAGCCTCCCAGAGTGCTGAAATTACAGGTGTGTACATCACACCCAGCTTAAGCTTGGATTTTAGAACAGGAATGGCTAACTGGTGGGTTCTCAGCAGAGTAACATTATCAAATTTAGAAAGACCACTCTGCCTCAGCCTGGAGCACTCGGTGTATTGGAGGGAACAAAAAAGCATTTACCTGATTCCTCACTGTAACTCTAGCACCCTGCATGCTGCCCGCACATAACTGGCACTGAGAAAATGTTTGCGGAACGAATGACTGGACAGGAAGCTATTGCAGTAACCAAGGCTCGTAGGTGAAGATAACTGTTCCAAGTTGAGATGTTTTCTAAATTGGGTTGAAAAAACTTAGCGAAGGAGTGACTGAACTGGGGGTTTGGAGTAAACAGAAGAGTCATACATTTCGATCCCCAGTACCAAAAAAAAAAAGTCACACGTGATTGCCATAAGTCTAACTTGGACCAAGTGTATGACCAGAGGGCACAGTTTAATGAGACGGGTAAGATGGAAGAGGGATACAAAGAGGCTTCACAGGAGACTATCAGATTCTTTCCCAGTTCCCACCACACACGTGATTGAGCATAGGGAAATACAGGCCACAGGAGTCTGGGACTGAACTTCCAAGGGATGAGGGCCGTGACACGCTCTCAACACCTTGCTCTCCCAGATCCACGTTAGGCACTACGAACTAGATCTATCCATAGGGAGAGAACAGGGACTGGGCAAAAGTTAGAAAAGGCCCAAGCCAAACTGCTGGCTGTCTTTTCTGTGCTAACCCTCCTTGTGTTACCCGAGCACAGTTTCTTCAAGACCACTGCGAACTCCAAGCACCAAGCACCGGGCCTAACTAAGCTGGGACCCTAAGAATTCCGTGGGAGAAATGTTCACAATTCCTTGGACCTGGGTTTGCCTTTCTAGGGCTGCAATCTGTCAGATTCCTCTCGCCTGCGGTCGCCCCGCAATCCCTGAAGCCGAAGTCACGGCCTACCTGCCAATCCCGCAAAGGCGGCGCTCTTCAGCCCAGGCTGCTACTGTAGACAATCCCCCTCCTCTGTACAACGTGGCGAAAAGAGTCCGCCCGCCTCGGCCGCTGCCACGGCAACAGGACTAGTTTACCCACAACGTCAACTCCGGACGCCGGAAGCACTTAACCCCGCCCATCCCACAAAGCCTGTTGGGAAAGAGACCGGGGTCTGCCTACAAGACCCAGAGGCCTTTGCGCCAACAAGGCCTCCGGAAGCAGTTGCGTTCTGGAGCCTAGAGGATGGTGGGGGGGAGACTCTGGGCTTTCTGCCCCCGCCCCCAGATAGAGTGTTATGCACGATGGGCCTTGTAGTCTCAGTCTCCCGGGTAGGCAGGTCTGAGCCACGGCTCTGGGAGGAGGAGGCAGGCGCAGGATGTGAGCTCACATCCCAGGATCGCGGGAAGGCAGGCGGCCAAGGGCCTGGGGCGGCACAGAGTCCGCTTGCCCCTCAGCTGAAAGCAGAGGAGACCCCGGGGATGGTAAGAGCTCTGCCTGCAGACGCCGTAGGGAATGGGGCGTTCGGACCCCTTGCCGGGGTCCTGGGGAAAAGCCACTGGACGGGGTAGGAGAGTTGGAGATTTCAGATCTTCCACCGGGGTTGCATGTCAGACTTGATGTTGGTTTCCCAGTAGAGAGGAAGGCTGCGAGCTGGAGAACAGCCTACACTGGTCACTAGAAAGCTTGGTTGTTGCTAAATATCCTCAGGACCCTTTGGATGTAGCCTAAGCGTCACCCCTAGGATTTCTGTTCGATCCGCCCTCTTGCCAACAGCAGCTTTCTCCCGCTGCTCCCTATTGTTTGACGGATTTGTGAATCTATTTTTCTCTAGGACCCCACCTCCTTCCACCGCTGTAGTTATTTGTCCTTTGTTCTGCTTAGGTCCCCATTAGCTTCGCTCCGTGAAACACGGACCCTAGCCCTAGGCATCCCTGAATATTCACACACGGAGTCCGGAAGAAAGGCTATCAGTGGAAACTTCATTCTCAATGGAATTACTTTCTGGGGCGTCACCTGCCACAGGATTCCTGGAACCCGTTGGTCTGAGTGGAATCTGCCCTGACGTCATCCAGGGGCTTAAAGCAGTTGATTTGTAAGAAAAGAATAGATTAGCTCTGGATCTGTCTTGGCAAGCCTACCCACTTCCTTTGACTTAGCAGGAGAATGTGAGGTGTCTGTGGCGGGGGTGAGGGGGTTGTTTTTTGTGGTACTGGGCATTGAACCTAGGGTGGTCTACCGCTGAGTTGCATGCCTAGCTCTATTCGGGGTTTTTTGTGTGTTTGTTTGTTTGTTTGTTTGTTTGTTTTTGTACGGGGGTGGGTGGGATCGAACTCAGGTCCTTTCCCGTTTGAGGCAGGCGGTGGAACCACTGAGCTAAATCCCTGGCCTTTAGGTTTTAATTTGACAGGTTCTCACTAAGTTGCCTAGGCTCTGCCATGGGCCACCTTGCCCGGCTCTATGTAAACTTTCTTAGATCTTCAGGAAATTGGGACTGAACACAGAAGATAGGGGGAACTTGCTAAAACCTATTAAGGGGTAGACTTATTCCTTTGGGGTGAGCAGAAGGTAAGGAGATCTCATCCCATTCGAGTGTAATTTAGTCATTGGGTAGTCCCAAGTCTCCTGGACAAGCCACAGAAAGATTCACCACTACACACAGCACTCACTCTGCCCCTTCCTTGAACATTCTTCCTAGGGACCTACATAAATCTAAGTGTGCGTGTGATATGAGTGTGTGTGTGTGTGTGTGTGTTTTACTGAGGATTGACCTTAAGGCCTTTGTACAGAGCAACATCTCCAATCCTTATTTTTTAATGTTTAATTTTGAAATCCAGGTGTGTTGGTGCATTCCTGTAGTCCCCAGTACTCTGGAGGCTGAGGCAGGGGGATTGCTGTGTTTGGTGCCAGCCTGTGGGCTACATAGTGGATTTCAAGGTCAGCCTGAACTACAGAGCAAGACCCTGTCTCAAAACAATCAAACAAACGAACAACAAAGAAAGTACCACTACAGTACAAGCCTTTGGCAGGAGGGGAAATTTCCCTTGGAGCAGGGGAAGGGATAAATTTTTGCCAGGCATTGTGGCGCACTCCTGGAATCCCAGAACTCCAGAGGCTGAGGCAGGAGGACTGCCTCAAGTTTGAAGCCAGCTTGGGCTACAATGGTGAATTCAAGACCAGCCTGAACTATATAGCTAGACTTTGTCTCAATGAAAAAAAAGAAAAAAAAATAGAGGTCCTACTAAATCTCTTAAATTGCCCATCTGGGCTCTAACTTTCAATCCTCCCGCCTCAGCCTCCCAGAGTGCTGGAATCACAGGTGTGTACTATCACACCCAGATCTATATAAATCTCAGGAACAATTTAGTCGAATAAACTGACACATGTTGTCTTAAAATGTGCCTGGCACTGTTTGAGGAGCAGAGCAGTAAACTTGAGGAAACCAGTGCTATGCCTGTGATTGCACTTTGATTCTGAGCAACTGGAAATTCTTTGCTCTTATGAGGATGAAATGAGGTAATTTGACTTTTTTTTCTCCTGTCTCCATTACTACCGCTGTAGTCTGAGCCTTTGTCATTTTTTCCCAGAACCACTACTTCCTCTGACCTTCCCGCTTCCTCTCCGCAATCCATTCCCTACATGGCAATCACAGTTATCTTTGCAAAATATAATCAGACCATATCACTCCCTTGCTTAGAGCCCTCCAATTGATTCCTTATACTATATTGCAATTATACGGCAATTAATATGAAATCCAAATTCTTCACTGTCATCTAGCACCTGCCTTCCCTGGATTTATATCAAACTACCTTCCCCTTGCCTTCTCCACACGGGGGGGGGGCACACCCTTATTTCTGTTCTTAAAACTTGTTTTGTTTTGTTTTGTTTTGTTTGATACCGGAGATTGAACTCCGGTCCTTGCAAGGCAGGCCACCGAACTGCTGAGCTAAATCCCCGGCCCCTGTTCTTAAAACTTGTAACAGGACCTATGCACTTAGTCCACCTGGAATGCCAGTGTCACCCTCCCAAAGAGGCTTTCCCTGTCCCTCTATCTAAATTACACTACCAGCTCCTAATCGCTCTGTCATCACCGTCTTATTCTCTCTGTTGCATGTATTGATTCATCACCTGCCACAATTGTCTGCTTGTTTCCATATACATTTTTTTGTGGGGGTTTTTGTTTTTTGAGACAGGGTTTCGCTCTATAGTTTGGGCTGGCCTTGAACTCACTGTGAATCCCCTGCCTCAGCCTCTATAGAGTATTGGAATTACAGGCGGGCGCCACCATATCTGGCTTGTTTCCTTGTTTATAGTCTGTCTGCTTCACTAGAATGAGGAAAATGACTCTTCTGTATTAGTTCTCTTTGTTCCCAGTGCCTGGCACATAATAGGAGCATGGTAAATGCTATCTCTTAACTCTTATTTAAAAAAAAAAAACTCTTATTAACACTATGCTGTCCTTTGGGGTTTGTTTTGGTTTTTGCTTTTGGTTTGTGTTTTTTTCCCCTTGAGAAAGCATCTCACTATGTATTCCTCTATGACCTTGAACACACAATGATGTTTCTGCCTGAGCCTCCTAAGTGCTGGGATTACAGGCGTGCACCACCACACTGGCTTTTATCAAATGTTTGCAATCTGCTGTTGGTGGAATCCACAGATTTGGGACCCAGAATATAAATCACAAAGAGGAGCAGTAAGTAAGATGTAAATCACAAGGGAGACCAGGCTTTACTCTCCTGGCCTCTTTGTTCTGTGAACTTTTTTTTTTTTTAAGACTTTTATTTGCATTTATGTTATGCTTAATTTATTTCTGTGCTGTAATTTTTTTTCTTCAGTTTCTTCTGAGCTTTTTCTCCTGTGCAACTTCCTCTTCTGGTTCAGGAACAGTTTGTTCCTTTTCAGTCAGGAGGATCTCAGTGTGGCAGGGGGGCTCTCGGATGGGTTAATCTGACCATGAGCTTTGTAAGTACCGGGTGCATCTTGGGTGCCTTGTTCACCGGGCTATGTTCAGTGACCGGAAAATCTGTGTCTAAACTCTGAAGTTCTGTGTTACAGTACTGTGCATTTTTAAGCATGTGCAGCAAAACTTCAGCACTCTTTCTGGGCCACTGGCCCTGTGTCCAGCTCCATTGTTCGGCCTGGGCACACCTCCCTGCTCCACCACTTAAGTTAGAATGGCACACTTTTGCTTCTTTAAAGTGACATCCTTCAGGTACTTGGCAGCCTTTTGGATATGCATACTTTGATGGCCTTGGCCATCATCATCAAGAACATCACGGATGTTTTGGGTTTTTTTGTTTGTTTGTTTGTTTATTTGTTTGTTTTTGTGGTACCAGAGATCGAACTCGGGTCCTTGCGCTTGCGAGGCAGGCCACCAAACCAGTGAGCTAAATCCCCAGCCCCAAAATATAGATTTCTAGGGATTTTCCTAAACTTTGAGTTTGTCTTCATACACATCTAATTCAACAGTAATTTTTTTGTTTATTTGTTTTTTTGGGGGTTTTTTTGTTTTGTTTTTTTGGTACCAGGGATTGAACTCGGGTCCTTGCGCTTGCAAGGCAGGCCACCGAACCGCTGAGCTAAATCCCCGGCCCTAAGAACATCAGGGATGTTCTTAAAGTGACCATGAAGATGTGAGCTTCTTAATTTGGATGATTTTGTGGGGTTTTCTGGGTCAAGAGTAGCAAGCCACTTTCACATGTTAACTCAGGCAACTTATAGGAAGAGCTGTGAACTCCTACTAACACTCTGTGCTGGGCATGGTGGGGCACACTTGTATTCCCAGCACTCTGAGAGGTTGAGGCAGGAGGATCACAAGTTCAAGCCTAGCCTGGGCAACTTTGTGACTTAGCAAGACCTTGTCGCAAATTTGTAAAAAACTCTTTTTTTTTTTTTTTTTTTTAAGAGCTCAAGTTGTAGCTCAGTACAGAGGCCCTGTACTGATTTAATCCCCAGTACTGCTACACACACACACACACACACACACGCTTACACACAAAATTATACATCACAAACATTTTTAAATTTATCATTTGGTCTTTCTGGTCCTTTCTCCCTATCGTTTTTTTTTCCCCTGGGGATCAAACTCAGGACCTTACACTTGTAAGGCAAGTACGGCGCCTCTGCCTTTCTCCCTATTCTTAATGGGAGGGAAGAAAGGAAGACATAAGGCTGGGCTCCCTCTCAGGAAAAAGAAGCAAAAATAGCTATCCTGTAGTTGTTCTGCCTTGAAAACTGCTTACAGTTTCAGGAACTTGGGGGCAAGGCTGGTGCCAAAAAAGGGAAAGGCCGGGAAACCCAGTGGGGGCACAGGTAACCTCTGCCAAGCACACTGGCCAGCTCCTGCAAGCTGGCCCACTCCGTCCCCTCTGGGAGCCACACTCACTTTCCTTCCTGAAGCCAGACTCCCTCCCACTAAAGTAAGCCCTGGCCAGGGCCACTTCCGAACCTGAAGTCTTGAGAAAGGAAATGCATCCTGTCCCTCTGGCTCCTGGGAAACTCTTCGGCTGGCTAGATTCCTAGTAGATTGGGCTGGAGGTCTGGGATCCTGGGAACCATGAGGAGAAAGTATCTGGAGTCTGGCTGGTAGATCTCCATGGTGATCGGTTCCAGCCCCTCTCTGGCTAGTTCCAAGGATGTGCCTGTGTTTTCTGCCACCCAGAACTGAGCTGAGTCTCAAGCTGGTGAGGTAAGCAGGGCAGGGCTGTGGGAGATGGGAGATGGTGCTTCTGCTGGTGTAGGCTCCTGATAGGAGAGGAACAGCCTAGGGACTTAGCCTCTGCCAGGAGCGCTGGGCTTAGCAAGGGGGGAATACTGCAACCAGAGTTCCTACTGCTGTCATCCCGTCACTTGAGGTCTCTGTTCCATTGACTTGTCTTTTCCCTCGCCCACAGTGTTGAGAGTATGAGGCTCTGGCCTCCACTCTGGCCTCATCTGTGATCACTTCCACCACAGTGGAGCCTTCCAAGCCCACCTCCTGCCGAGTGGTGATCTACCTGCAGCGGGAGATGTCTGGGGACACCTGTTTGTGCCCAGCCTCGGGGGCCAAGCCCAAGCTAAGCAGCTTCAAGGGAGGAGGGCTGGGCAACAAGTACGTGCAGCTCAATGTGGGCGGCTCCCTGTACTACACCACTGTGCGGGCGCTCACCCGGCATGACACCATGTTGAAGGCCATGTTCAGCGGGCGCATGGAGGTGCTGACCGACAAAGAAGGTGAGGCACTGGGGCTCAGGACAGGGTGGGGGCAGAGAGGGGTCCTAAAGAAAGACTTCAGGACAAGGCTTAGGCCTGGTAGATCTGGAGTCCAGATTCACTTTTCCCCTTCACAGAGTGTAAAACTTCACCTAGAGTCCTTAGTAGAACTTCAGAATTCTTTGAATTATACATAGGGTGTTGTGTACTTGAGCATTTTCCACAAAGAAAAGCCATAGTTTTTTCTGTGGTGGTTGTGGTGGTACTACAGGGGATTGAAACTAGGGCCTTCACACTCAGCTATCAGGGCTTGAACTTGAAATCATTCTGCCTCAGCCTCCCAGAGTACTGGAATAATTCAAGTTCAAGCCCAAAGGCTGGGCTTCATACTTTTTAAATATTCAAACAAGACTAGACTTGCAGTGATGGCAAGCCTTTTAGAGCTTTAAATGATACAAACCGCCCGCTGCAGTATTCATGCCATAGGTTTCCCCACCACTGGACTAGTCTCAGAACTGTCACTTGAGCCTGAGCAGTGGGAAGAAGGCGAGCAGGGGCTGGTGGTTTCCTTGTGGCCAGGGTGGTCTGTGTGCTCCTGAGGTACACCTCTGTGGGGCTGCACAGAGACTGTCTGGCCTGTGTCTCCCATGGTGCACACCAGCTCTGGGTCCAGGAAGGAGGATGAAGAACAACCGTGGACCCAAGAGCTAGAACATCCATTCCCTCTTCTTTGGCCCTGGACCCTGGGCTGTATGTTCTTTGCTACCTGCCACCTACCTCATCAGGTAGCCTTTGCCTGCATCTGAGGTTATCTGGGGGCAAACAGTAATCCTTTGGGGCCATCTGAATCCCTGATTCTAGGCTGGATCCTTATAGACCGATGTGGAAAGCACTTTGGCACCATTTTGAATTACCTCCGGGATGACACCATCACCCTCCCTCAAAACCGGCAAGAAATCAAGGAACTGATGGCTGAAGCAAAATATTACCTCATTCAGGGGCTGGTGAACATGTGCCAGACTGCCCTGCAGGTACGGGGACAGAGTTGAGTCAGGAGCTGCCCCTCCCCGGGGGAGGTAAGGGTCATTTCCTGCAGGCTGCAGGGTCAGTAAGGCTGGAGTCTACACCCAGTTAGAACAGGGAGGTGTGACCTTGGCCCAGCAACTCAGCAGCCAGGGGTCACGCTCAGCAGTGTGAACGGCCCTGCTTCCAGGTCATGTGCCTGGATACCTAGACTTCAGGTCTTCTGGAAAGGGGAGTCTGCTTGCCAGCGGTGTCTGTTACCAGGTGTCTCATGATCGCTATCTGATCTGAGCTTACCAAGCAGGGGGTGGCTAAGGCAGAGCGGCTCTGTGCATACCTGGCTAAGCTCTTGCTCTCTGTGTGGTCACCCAGGACAAGAAGGACTCCTACCAGCCTGTGTGCAACATCCCCATCATCACGTCCCTGAGGGAGGAGGATAGGCTCATTGAATCCTCTACCAAGGTACCGGGACCTCAGAGGGCTGTGGCCTGGGGATTTCAGGCCCCTGGCGAGGTGCTCACTCTCTCCTCCTTCACAGCCTGTGGTGAAGCTGCTGTACAACAGAAGCAACAACAAGTACTCCTACACCAGGTAGGTGGGTGTCTCTGTTGGAGGGCCTGGGAAGGGCTGTAGGAGCAGCTAGAAAGGTTGCAGCCAGAGTGGATACCGGCAGCAGACCCAAGGGAAAGCGCTTGCACTCCTGGCCTGGGGAGCATAGTCTGGGTTTTAGATTCGCTCATGCTAAGTGGGGAGAATAGAGGGTAGAAGGGAAGCAGAGCCATTTGGAACTTGGCCCAGGTCCTTGGTTGAGTATTAACAGTGGGACATGAAAAGCCCCCTCAACATGTGTCATGTTAGGACGGTGCTAGAAGCCAGCGGGCTGGGAGTCCCCCTCAGGCTTCTGCAGTCTTTGTACTTCCATGACTCCCATGGCCCAGAGCTCTAGACTGGCCCCATGACTCCCTGTGGACGGGCACATTGCCAGGGTCACCCCACAAGGGAAGAAACACCACCTACTGAAGTTGAGGTGTGACCTTCCTCCGGGTTAAGGAGAGGCAACTCCTTCCCTCAGTTCTCTCTGGTACAGCTTAGAGCCAACTAAATCCCTTTTCCTCACAGACACTCAAACACCGAGGGTGCCCTGTGACCCCATGTCTTCCTGCCCCACCGCCATCATGACCTGTCATTTCCGTGTGATGGGCACGGTGGGGAGGGGAGAGCCCAGCTTGCCCCAGCAGCACCCCCTTGTGCCAGAACCTCATTCCTGACCCACTGGCCCTTGTGGGTTTTTCAGCAACTCTGACGACCACCTGCTGAAAAACATCGAGCTATTTGATAAGCTGTCCCTGCGCTTCAATGGCCGCGTGCTCTTCATCAAGGATGTCATCGGCGACGAGATCTGCTGCTGGTCCTTTTATGGCCAGGGCCGCAAGCTAGCAGAGGTGTGCTGCACCTCCATCGTGTATGCCACAGAGAAGAAGCAGACCAAGGTATGTGGCCTTGTTCTCCTTGGGGTAGGACACCACTAAGGTGGAGTGGTCGGGGCAGGACCCATGCTACCCAGCTGAGCTCTTCCCACAAAACACCGAAAGGGCCACACATTTTGTTCTCTTTGCCGACCATGTTGAATTGTGCTACGACAAAGCCAGAGCAGGGATTTGGGATATAAACAGGAACCAATGTGCCTGACTGCTGGAAGAGAGAGGCCACTGACCAGCAGACTGCCTGGTACAGTGGAATGAACTGAGTTTCTGAAGTTGGCCCAATTCAGGTTCCACCATCTGCCAGTTTCTGACTTTGGATATGCCATTTAAACCACCCAGGCCTCAGTTTCCCTATCTGCAAACAGTGGAATGACAGTATAAATTTAACAGGTTTAGGAATGAGATAGCTCTTAGAAAAGCAGTGTGGTATAGTGAAAATCACTTGAGCTGTGGACTTAGAGGATGCTGTTCCAATCTCTTCGCTGGCCCCTGCTACCATAGTGGGGCATTCCTGGTCGGTCACCTTGGCCTCTGCAGATACTTCCTGGAGCCAGGCACATGGAAGGCATTTCATAGGTGAGTTTCCACAAACTCAGCTCTTCTCTACCAGGAAATAAGCAGGTGTCCTGCCCAGAGGACCTGCCTCTCTTGAGGGCCTGTGGTGGAACAGCAGTTCATCTAGGAAGGTCAAGTGGGTGTGAAGGGCTCAAAGCAGCCAGGACCAAGTAGCATCTTCCTTTCTTTTTTTTTTTTGTAGCAGGAATCAAACTTGGGGCCTTGTGCTTGCCAGGTAGGCACAGTGCCACTGAGCTAAATCCCCAACCCTTGAGTAGCACCATCTTGGTCCCCAGATTGCTGCAGTACCTCCTGCTGGGTAGTAGTCTGCTGAGGTTGGGGAAGGACACCTTACAGGAGGTGACCCTGCTTCACCATGCAGTTTGTGGCAGTGGGATCAGGGGTGGAGAGAGGTGGGGAGTGAGAGTTAGCATAGGCTCCCAGCCTTATCAGGAGGGTCAGAGTTCAGGGCCAGGTGATCTGCGGCAGTGACAGTTTCACCTGTCAAGATTTCTAAGTGTTCTGCTTTGCGTGAGCTCCCTCGAGCTCTCTCTCACACCACACCAACGAGACAGGCAGGCTATAGACCTTCTCCTTGTCTGACAGATGAGGTCACAGACACTCCATATTCTGCAGCAAATTTGCTAGTAGAATTCTGAGGCCTTGATTGCCATCTCCTTTCTCTTCCACACAGGGCAAGGTAAGTAATAAAACAGCCAGTTGCAAAATAAAAACTAAAAAACGGGGCTGCAGCTCAGTGAGCTGTGGACTTACACCCTGGATTCAGTCCACAGTACTGTATAGATGGATGGATGCATGGATGGACAGACAGACAAGATAGATGGCAGGGATTATAGGTGTGAGCCATCATACCCAACTGAGCAACTGCTTTATATTTATTTGGTTGTTTACTGTGTGTCAGGCTTTTTGCTAAGACATAGCTGTTAACCATTCCTTGACACATAGGAACTGCAGCCCAGAAAGCTTAGGCTCAAATCCCCTCACCTAGTAAACGGTGGAGGTGTTCAGACCTAGGCCCACTGTCTGTGGGTACTTGTCCATCTGTCTTGGATTGCGGTGGGACATGGGCCTGGTATTCGTCTTCTGTACCCTTATTCCCATAATCTCCTCATACCTCCTTCAAAGGGAGACTGTTCTCCCTCGTGAGCTGGCCGGCTGTCTCTCTTGTGAGAATCAGGCAGCTTCGTGGAGAACCACACGCTCCCTTACTGAGCTAAAACCTTACTTGTTCTCATCCCTCTTACCCCAGGTGGAATTCCCAGAGGCCAGAATCTATGAGGAGACACTCAATGTCCTACTTTATGAGACCCCTCGAGTTCCTGACAACTCTTTATTGGAAGCCACAAGTCGGAGCCGCAGCCAAGCTTCCCCTAGTGAAGATGAAGAGGCCTTTGAACTGCGGGACCGAGTGCGCCGCATCCACGTCAAGCGCTATAGCACGTACGATGACCGGCAACTTGGCCACCAGTCTGCCCATCGAGACTGACGAGACCTTCAGGGAGTTCAGGCACAGGAGGCCCTGTCTCCCATCCTGTGGCGCCCTATCCCACACTGCTGCTGGCTGGGTATCTGGCTCCAGTACCCAAAGGCATGACAGGCCTTGCCTGGGAGGTCAGAGGGCCTTGACGGGAGGGGCTGTTTTCCCTTGTCCTGGCTCCAAGCACTTCCAGATCCATCTCCCTTTCTGCAAGACAGGAGCTGCTTCTGCTCTGGGGTGAATGGACTGACCTCCCACCTCCTGCTAAGAACATTCCCTTAGGCCCTTTGATAAGCGCCCGCTTCCTCAGTTAAGGCCCATGGGAAGCTTTATTCTGGTTGGGGGAGGCAGCTTTTGGTGCTGTGGAAGCCCAGTCTAGCAGAAGAAGGGCTTCTTTTTTGCCTAAGGTGTTTAAGCACAGGTTTGATGATTTTTTTAAAAAATAATCTAGGAAATTGTTTTAAATCTAATAAAGGGTCTGGACATTTCTGCTACCCCTGCAGAGTGACAGAGCCCTGTGTAAGGCAGACCCTTCGGCCTTTCTTGATGCCTCCGGGATCTGTCTTTAAAGCACTTTGTACTGTTATTCAGGAAATCTGTAATTTGCCCTGACCAATGTCTTATGATCCTAATCCCCTCTTGTAGAATCAATTTGAATAAGGGGATAAAGAGGAAGCAATAAAAAAATCCTCAAAACCAGCCAGCTTGGCTTTGTCAGCCTGGCCAGCCAGCCCAGAGAGCATCAAGAAAGGAAGGAGGCAAAAGCTGGGACCTGTGGTGTTAACAGCATCCTGTGAGAAGACATTTCCATCTCACCCCGACAGCTTAGAGGGCCTAGCAGGATTTTCTTTTTGATTCTGGTCCTTGAGGGCATGCTGTCCTCACATACCATAAAGCCAGAGGATGGCATAGGGGCCTGGAGGCAGGCACCAGTGCTGGCCTATGCTCCTAATGGTATGTGTAGAAATGGCCAAGGCTTGTCCACCTGTCTGCCCACCCTGACATCCACGTTATCAGTTCGTATCCTACTAGGGAAGGTGGTTGTGCTCAATGCGGAGTCTCAGGCAGTGTCCATACAACCTAGGCCCTTGAAGACCTTCATTCCCACTTGCTAGGTTATTTGGCCATGGAGATGCCACACATCAGCCAGGGTGGAGTTCCCACTCAGGACCTTGGTTTTTATCCCCTTTGTTTGGCTTGGCCCAGCAGGCAGCTTGTCTAAATTCTTTCCAGAGGAATGCTGTCAGGGAGAGAGCTGTTCTACTAGCCTAACAAAGCAGTGTGGCCGTGTCCAGTCCCACTCTCAGGATGGAACACAGCTTGCCAGGCTCTTCCCTCAGCTATTAAGTTTGTTAAGTGGCTGCTCACAGCACACCTGAGTCTATGGGCAAATATCAGGCTCAGCATTGGACACTCACAGGGACCTGAAGAGACATGATGGGGCAAGGCAATGTGACTTACTAATCAGGCATTTTTTATTAGTCATAATCTTGAATGTATAAATAGCTCTCAGGTCAGACATTGGTAACCAGCTACTAGTCTTAGCCCTCACTGGAATTAAGATGACAATCCATTTCTTTGGTCAGATTCAGGCTTTGGCTTTGTGGCTTTCCTACAGACTGGAATCCCTCTGCCTGAGGGCCACCTCCCTATTTTCTCAGCAGTCCACATAAAGCCCTTTAATAAATTCCCAGCTCCCTACTAAGGTATTTTCATGCTTGTCCTTTGACTTCTACATCCCCCTTACCTGCTAATTAGTGCTTTGACACTCAGGTCCTCAGCCATCTCAGTGATACCTAGTTTGGGACCTGAGAAAGCACAGTAGTCTGGGGCTGGGCATTTCTCTTTGACTATTATCTCTTTGATCTAAAGGAAAACACTAACACTGAATTCACTGACATGATCTAAGCTTTTTATTTTTTATTTTTTTCAATCTAAGCTTCTTTAAGTAGACTTTGTGGCTTAACGGTTTGGGGAATTTCCTGGCCCCATTCAGAAAGGAGCTGTTAGCAGTGTGAATTTTTGAACTCTGGCCAAGCAAGGGAGACAAACAAAAGAATGGATTAAGGTCAAACTTTCCTGTTGGTTTCTGAGAAAACTGGAAGCTTGCTGTTAACAACAGACCAGTACTTGTTTTTGTTGGATTTGGTGTGTGGCCGTGGTCTGTCTGAAGGACGGCACAGATACTGACGTGAGAATTTTTCCTTTATCACATAACTGCAATCCTTTGTTGTTCAGCCTCAGTGATGGAAATAAACACTAATTTCTAATAAAACTTGTACAATGGTACACGGAGCTTGGCCATTTTACAGCTGTGGGCTCAGTTCTTGTATTTGTTACCACCTGACTTCCTGTTCTAGCTAGGTCAAAACTTGGGTCTCCCTGTAACTGAAGCTCCCCCTAGTGGAGGATTAAGGAAAACACGAGTTGGAACTGAGATTTTAATATTAATTCGAGAATAAAACTACCTCTAACAATCACTGCAATAGAGGGAGAAAAGGAATCCTAAGAAGTGGACAAAATACAGCCCATTTGTCTCTGGCTCTTGGAGATCTGAGAGAAGCTCTTAAAGTAGCTTGGCTTGGTCCCTGTCCATACTTTAAACTGCTCCTTAGCCAAATCCCTGCACTTGTGGTGTGGATGTGCACAGCAGGCAAACCCAGTGAGCCAAGAAACCCAGCTGACTCATCTCTTCTCCCAGGTCAACAAGGCCAGAGATGCTGGTGGTTGGTCAGAGGTAGGGCCAGGCCACTCGAGCCCTGACAATGACCACTTTCTCTGCACGCTGCAAAGGCAGAGTCGTTCAGTCCAGCACCTTCTCACTGGCAGGAGGCATGGTGCCCGCAGATGTCCAGCCAGCCTCTAGGATCAAAGGGGAAAGACACAGGCCCTAGTAGAGAAGGCAGCTCCCTGGAGGTGACCTTGCCTGGAAAGCAAAGAAGGGCCCCACTGGATCCGAAAGGGACCCTGAGACCCTGAGAGCAGAAATGGCGAGGGTGGCCAAGTGTGCACTGGTTTATTGACCAAACTTCATGTTGCAGACAACGCATGACAAGTCGGGAAACAAACACCTCCAGGCCTGTGGCAGCTGAACAGTTAGTTCCTTGATGGAAAGGTTTACAGGAACACAGTATAGGCAGAGCTTATGAGAAAGCCAGCCAGCCTTAGAGGAGTCCTATATATGGGCCTTCTGAAAAAAAGGTTCCTACGCCCCCCCAAAAAATAGAGCCCCACAATCAAATGTGCAACGGATGAAGAAACCCATCTGGGCCATGATGAGGGGGGAGAGTTTTGCAGCAATTGTGGGTTTACAGCTGATCTGAAGAGCCAAGCTTAGGCACTCAAGGTCTCAACTGGCCTACCAGTGAAGGCCTGAGGGTGGTGTCTTCTCATCTTTATTACTTTCCAGAGAGAAAGGCGGTATTCGGACATCAAAATGGGAGCCATCAGGTCGCTCGAAGCGGAACGTGCCCCTGGGGGTCAGAGAGAAACTGGTTTAGAGACAGTGGGGCTGAGGCTCTACTGAGGATTTCAATGGACCCGATGCCCTCAGCTCCGAGGCTGCAGTACGATGAGGCAGGCCTAGGCTCTCTTCTGCTAGCTCCTGATAGGTTGACTCATCCAGAGACCCAAAAACCCCAGTTGGCCCTACATGAAAAGAATCACAGCTATCTAGATTTTGGCCCTGCAATGCATACTGCATGAACTACCCAAATGCACTCTAACAGGTTAAAGTGTGAAACACCCAGAAGAACTACATAAGCAGTGTAGCATCAAAGCCCTAGATCAGTGCTGGTGAACCTCTGATTCCATGTGCTACAGTGGGCGCATGTCTGTATCACTGAAGGCTCTAAAAGGTTTGCCATCTTTGCCCTAGACCTAAGTCCTCAGTCCACATCACAGAGAACCCAGACCAGGCAGTCATAAAAAGCAGACAAGTCCCACACAACAATGAACAGCAGATAAGGCTCCATCTCAGGACATGACTTGGCCCAGAGCCAATCACTAGCTCTGCACTTGCTGAGCTCTAGCTTTTCTGACCTAAAGCTATGTCAGTGGAGCTGAGCGGCTCCTGACCCTGCACATGCTCACTTACCACATGTGCCCACTAGAGGCCTGCAGGGAGACATGGCTGCTGTACTGGAATGCGGGCTGCTCCTTGGATAACACTGGTTCCTGTAAGGATTCAGGCAAAATGATCAGGCCAAGCTCCAGGGACAAATTCCCTGCACTTAGGGGCCACACGCTGCCAGTTAGGTCAGGCCTGGATGCCTGCCAACCAAGCAACCACCATAGCAGGTATTCCACAGTGAGAACCTGCCAGGACCTCTTCCGGCAGCATGGTCAGTGGCTTGGCCTTTTATTCTGCCTCTGGGAAGTCTGACTTGCCTGACACTAGGCGAAGATGCTGAGCGCAAGACCCGCTCCGAAAATAGCCCTTTCAGTGTATACTCACAATAGCTAAGTACTAAGCACCTCAGCAGGTATTCTGCAAACTGATGCTAACTGAATTCTCCTGATGATCACAAATTACTTATATATGATCTCTATTCTAGCAGTAATAGACTAAATAACTTGCCCAAAATTATGAAGTGAGTGTACAGCTTCAATTTGAAGCCAGGTATCTAATTCCAAGCCCTACTCTTATTCACCTTTCATGCCACCACCACCCCCAACATGGATAAGTACTTGTTGGATGTGGGCCCTAACACTAGTACTTCTTGTGACTTTATTTCTCAGAAGACAGATGAAGGTAGGCAGGGATACAACTTCACATCTCCTCGAGGACCAGCAAAGTACATGGGTAAAAAGGCAAAGATGACTATGGGTATTGGGAAGCGGATGCCTCACCTCAATGCATTCAAATTCAGGTTTTTCGGAGACATTACACTGCTCAACAAAAAGTATACAAGCTTTGACTTCAGACTCACTTAGACAAATCCCAGCCCTGTCACTACCTAGCAATGAGACTGTGGATTCATCATGTAGCTCTTTGGTCTCTCTTTATCTGTGAAATAAGTTATAGGTAACCTATGTCACAGGGTTGTTGTAAGAAATCTAACTCAAAGTGTGTTCACACAGTGAGTCTCAGTCTGTAACCACAGAAAAGGAAGAAAACACACAAAAAGCCCCTATGGTCTCTGGGCAGGATCTGGCCTGGTGATGCTCACCCTGCCCACCACCCCTCGGCCTCGAACTGTCTCCAAGGTGCCTGAGAGACTAAATATCCTCCAGTGCCGCTCCCGGAGCTGTACCACATCACTGTCCAGGTTCTCCAAGCGAATACAATAGCGCCACTGTAAGGGAAGAGGGAGAGAGTTCATATTTGCAAAAGAATAGACCCTGAGCCAGCCCATCTAGAATTCTGTGGAGCACAGAAGACAACAAAGTCGGCCATCTGTGGTACACAGGCTCTGCCTCCCCACCTGACCCCAAGGCACTCCTGAGCTCCCCCATGTCCTCAGGAAGACACTCACCCAGTAGACATGGGAGTTCTGGGCTTCCTGGGGGGAAAAACATAAAAGAGTTTAAGTCCTAGAAGGCAAGACCAAGTCTCTTCCAATTGACAAGTCTCCAGTGAAGTCCAAGCATTCTAGGAAGGTTGTAAAAGCAGCACACATCTGTGGGGTGATGGTGATGAACTATGACCAACAAGTCCACAAGGAGGTGCCTCTCCCGTGTCCATTCCTGGTCTCCCTCCTCCTCAACCTGTCAAGACCACCAGCAGAGCTAGAAGCCAACTGAAATCCACTGCAGTGCTCTCACCTTTCTCACCATGCACCACCTTCTCTCCTTGCCAGTCCTGGCCCCCATTATGGTGCCCCAGGACCCAGTCCTCCTCTATCCTCCCACAGTCTCTTACTGCAATACTTTGGATGTTAGATGCTGACCTCCTCTTAACCATAAACTCATAAAAGGCAAGAACAGTTTTTCATTTATATTTGCATCCCCAGGCCTAGCTTAAGAGTGAGGCATAATGAATATTTGGCTATTATATAAAAAGTACAAAGAAAAACCGGGCGTGGTGGTACACGCCTGTAATCCCAGCACTTGGGAGGCTGAGGCAAGAGGATCGCTGGGAGTTCAAGACCAGCCTGAGCTACATAGTGAGTTCCAGGTCAGTCTCATTACATAGTGAGACCCTGGCTCAAAAAACCAAAAAAAAGTACAAAGATAAATCCACACTATTTTAGGCAAGTATGGGTACATTCTTTATAAGCAAGGCTCCCTCTGAGCCCAAGGAAAGAAAGAAGAGCATGCATGTAGGACTCCTTCCTGGGACCTGTGGGTTTTGTTGTGAGCCACTGCCAAGAGGCTACAACATAAGAGCACTTGGGAGCAGAGCCACCGGGACATGGTTTAAATTTAGACTCCCTCATCCCAGCAATCACACTGGGGACATCACCCAGAATCTCAGGCCTAGCCCTGCAGGGAGGGCCAGGGGCAAGACACATACCCTCATGCCCATGTAGAAAGGGATGACAGTGACACGGATGTTCTCAGTTGTCTCCCGGTGGACATCGGATAGCTCTAGCCAGGGGTGATTCTTCTCTTGCCAGGCCCGTAGTGTTTCCCGAGCCACAAAAGGGGGTGCTGGAACAAAAGCAAACAGGTTAGTCCAGGCCAGAGCCAAGGGCATTGCATCCACTCTCCAACTGCTTCTCCTAGAAACCCCTTCCCAGTGGTGGGCCAGATGAACAAGACACACACAAAAAGCAAAACCAAGGGTGCAGCTGGGGCTGGTGGTGCATGCAGGAAATCCCAGCACACCGGGAGGCTGAGGCAGGATGATTGCCATTGGTCCAAGACCAACCTGAACTACACAGGAAGATCCTGTCTCAAAGAAACAAACAAAAAGACAAAGCTGGAAGGCACAGTGGTATACAAGATAAACCCCAAGGGGCAATGTGATCCTATGGGAAGGAAAACGGACTGGGAGTTAACAGCCCCGGTTTTCAGATCTCCAACCGCCGCTACCTAGCAACCTTGACTCACTGCTCATCATTCCCCAGTCTGCTTTTATCTCTGTAAGGAAACAGTAGCCATCAACTTCACAGAGCTAAAAGGAGGTGGGAAAGGGTTCTGAAATCACTTCTGTGATTCTCTCCTAGAAGGAAAGGCCCTCCCACTCTTGCCTCCCTTGCTAAAACAGATTACCTTTCGTCTGGTCATACAGAAGAAATCTTTCAAAGAGCTCATGTTGGATGGGAACCTGATCAGTGGAGGTGTAGGGGAGGATGTCTTCATGGCTCACATAATCCAGGCCTGGCACAGAGAGGCAAAGAATAAGGCTCACACAGAAGAGAAAACAAGGAACAAGAATGAGAGAAACATTTCCTGGCCTTGCCCAGGGTGAGTGACCCTGGCAACACAGCTGACAGCATCAAAACCCCTCCCTGCAAATGACAGGACATCAGAATCCTCTCCCAGGGTCGTACCAGCCCCTTCCCCAAAGGCATCACTCAGATGCTAACTCCTCACCTGGAATGGCATAGAGGGCCCGGCTGTCATCATGGTTAGCCAAGAAGGTCACAGCTTCTGTCTGAGATCTCTGAGACTGAGGTATGAAGAACATCAGTGGCTTTCTTGGCTACTGTCCAGTCCTGAAACCTCAGGGCTCAGGACTGATCTGGGCTGTTTGACCCTGTCCCTCTCCCTTTGACCCTACTGGGGTACAGGCCTTTTCCGTGGAGAGAAAGCCCAGGCCCAGCCATCTTGCTTACTTACTATATGTGGACAGTCTCGGGCATCAATCAGCACCTGATAGTAAGTGTGAGTTTTGCCTTTCACCTCCTTAGAGCCATGGCCAGCGGGATTCTCTGCTCTGTGGGTTGAGAGAAACCCAAGATCATCCTGAAAGGAGTGGAACCTGTGCCTTACTCAGCTCACTACTACTCCCTTACCTAAACAGGCTGCTTCCTCATCTGAAGAGGTTTTGGCATCACTGGGAACCTGGTCAGCAACACCCAACCTGGCCATTTGCTAGTCAGGGCAAACAGTGGAGGCTGGGGGCCCATGAAACCATCATTTGCCTTACTCTCTAGATGCCTTTTGGAAGGAGGCCAGGTTGAGAAAATCCAATTGCCATCAGTCCCCCAAGGCCTCAAGTACCCTACCCCTCTCACATCGCAATCATTTAATAAAGTTATTTCTTTCCTTTTTAAAAATGTACTCTAGTGACCATGTGAGATTAAGGGAAAGATTCCAAATGAACATCAAGAAACCAAGACTAGGGCCAGGGATTTTAGCTCAGTGGTTCTGCCACCTGCTTTGCAAGTGCAAGGTCCCAAGTTTGATCCCCAGTACCCAAAAGAAAAGAAAAGAAACCAAGACTAGCCTCTCAATGTCTACTGGGGTACCTAATAAAAATTGAGATTAGTGTGGGAACGCATTCTGGGCAGACCTAAAGGAACATTCTGGCTTAAGACTGTCCCTAGCATTCAGCACTTTTGTCTACATAGGTATCAGTGCTAGAGAAGTACTCTGGGTCTGTTTCTAAGGCCCAGGAAGATGCTGTTCACCCCACCCCCCACCATGAGACCCTAATTACATATATGTGCAATGAGTTGGGCTGCCTCCTGAGGACACTGTGAGCCTCACAAGGACTTACTTTTCTGAAGCTGCAGAAGCCACATCCCGGTCATATAGTCTGGCCTGCCAGGGAAACAGGACAACACCTCGGTAGCCAAAAACACTATGAAGAAAAAGCTAGAAGGAAAGAGAGGTTTCAGTTAGTCCATAGTCCAGCAAGTCCATCAAGGTGAGACCTGACCAAGAGGCAGCACATGTTGGGACTTCAAGACAAGGTCTTACTACCTTTTCTCTTGATCTCTAAACCAACTTTATTTTTTTAAAAATAAGACATTTATTATGCTAAAGCACAGACTTTATGCTCAATTTTCCCAAACACTAAAATAGCACACAGCATAGTAATTTAACACACAATACAAACTGATATATGCAATAATTCCCCAAATTACTATTTTAACCTTCACTTTTGGAGTCCTTAAAAACTTACACTCTTAAGTGACCTTTATTAAAGTTATCAAGAAACAAGTTACTTCAGAAAAGTCAGTGTAAAACAGACCTCAACTCCTTGGATCTGGGAACTATTGTAAAGGAAAATACTTGATTTGCCTCCATCTCTGAGCTGCAGCAGAGTCAAGCTCCTTTTCCTTAGGGTAACACTATTAGGAATCCTACTTTGAGAAAAATCATTCTAAATTTAATATTGCAGCTTTCACCACAGGGAGGGCCTCGACTGAAACTGCATTTCAAGTAGAAAGAAAGGAGCTTGAGATCCAAACCAATTTTAGAACACTACAAACCCTGTTCACCCGGCTGACTCTATTCATCCCTCAGATCACAGCTTTGGCCTTCAGGAAATAGGTCCTGACCTCCCTCCACAGTGAACAGCCACTGACTATCTGTATGGTGTTAACCCCTTTCTAGAGTATCAGCTCCATGAAGGCAAAACCATGCCTACATACTTTCTGACTTAACCCTGATATACAATATCTGGTCCACTGGAAGCATACAAAAAAATTGCTGAATGAACAAAAAGTCTTCCTTACATACAAGAGGCCTAAATCTATTCCAGTAGCCCTGAAACAAAAGCTGGCAAAGAAAAAGAGCCTCACCTCTAGAGCTTACCACACTGTAATCAGTTTACTAATAAAACATCAAAGGTCTGCTTTTCTGAATGCTCTCTCCACTGACATCACACTATCCACTATGTTAAAGGAAATCTTAACACACAATACAAACTGATATATGCAATAATTCCCAAAATGACTATTTTAAGTTTTAGCGACTTCACTTTCTCTTCTCTACACTAATAAGCAAATAATCCCTCTGTACACTAACCTGGAAAGAGAAACCACTGCTGTATTAAGCGCATTAAAATACAAGGAAACAGAAACTTCATCTTAAAAATTTGTGATTCTGGCCCAGCACCGAATAATAAGATGGAATGGTGATAGGGGTGTGGCTCAGTGCTAGAGCACTTGCCTAGTACTATATGTGTGTGGGTTCAATGCTTAGCACCACAAAAAAAAAAAAAAAAAAAAGGAAAGGGGATAAAGAGAATGAACCATACCATTCCCATTTGTGCCCAAATATGACTCCATTCAGATGCTGAGCACTACATGAAAATGAAGGCCAACCCTGCCCAATACTTACCTGCCCAGTCTCATATTTTCCATTCTGTTTTGGCACCTCAAATACACCAACTGTCTCCAACACTTTGCCCTCTGCTCGGTTTCTGCTTAGGAAGGAAAAGAAGCAAATGAAAAGCTGAGTTGTTTTGTGTTGTTATTGTTATCGTTGTTGTTTTGAGCTGACCCTGAACTCACTATGTAGCCCAGACTGGCCTCAAACTCCCGGGGACCCTCCTGCCTCAACCTCCCCACTGCTAGGATTACAGGGATGTACCGCCATACCCATCTCTGAGTGGGTAATGATTCTTATCCATCAGAAAAAAAAAAAAAAAAAAACTAGTAGGATATTCAAGGGCCAGGACAATGATAAGAGAAATTTGGGGCAGTGTGGCCAGAGAGCCCTGCCAAGCATCGACAACTTGGAACTGCTGCCTTTCCTGCTTTGAGGGTGGGCTACAGCTGTTGCTTGGTGGAAACCTTCCAAATCCCCCAATTCTAGATCCGAGTGCTCACTTTTTTTCTCTTTACTACTTCTTATTCCTTATATTGCCCTCGTGCCCTACTTAAATGCACCTCTTTCTCCATTTCTTCTCTAACCTACTATCCTCTGACAGCATTTTAAATGTTTACATCAGTTTTCATAGGGGCCTTAAGTTGCAGATGGTCATCACCTCTCCCAAATATCAGTAACTGTCTTAGCCACTATCAGGTCAGCTCTGCAGGTTCCTCTCTAGATAGTGTTGTTCTGTCTAGGGGCCTTTCAAAGCAGTTATTCTACTTTGGAGATGCGAACTTTATCTACTGGCCCCAATCTGATATGCTTTTCCCATGCCCAGAGGCACTGTTCACACCATCCCCATGCCTCAAACCCCTTTCTCCAACTCATACAAAGAAAACTGGCATCCCCAAGGTCAGAGGGAAACCTGGGACCCACAAGGGCCCACAGTCAAGTCGACTTGTATGTATCCCACCTCTACCATCTTTTTGAGGAAGGCCATGAACAGTCAAGGGCTGGGAGCTTAAGTCAAAAGCGCCCGGGCTGCCCTAAAAAGGCTGCCCACGAAGAGCGGAGCTGGGGACCCGGGCCGGGGAGAGTTGCTAGCCCCCTCCGAGGCTGCACGGCATGGCCAAGCTTTGGGCCGCGCTCCCACCCTGCTCCTGGCACGTATCCCAGGCACGGCATGTCCGCTCCCTGTTCGCAACCCTCTCCCAGGTCCAGCTCCAGTCACCCGCGGAAGACCCGGCCTCCTACCCTCCTTACTGGCCACGAACAAGCTCCCCGGGTCCGGGCCCGGTCCCCGCGCCCCCTCGCTTCGTCCCTC